ATCATCCCAGTGATCAGCCATGGGGTTATCATCATAAGCCCTGTAGACAATTCCATTAGCACATAATATGCCAACCTAATGAACAACATCCTCATGAAAGCATGGAGTGTCATGGATAAAATTAACCCACATAATGTCCTATTTCCTTATTTGACCTTGATTCATAATCACAACGAACAAAACACTCTTGAGCTTCTCCGCTGTACTTCATCTAACTATCCATATATCCTTTCCTATTCAGTAAGTTTCCTCTATCCCTACTAAGGCCTTTTGTGCTACCCACCACATGGGCTTGCAATGCCCTTTCCTCCTCCTATGGCTATGACCCTGTCCTTGCCCTCTTTAGCTGGCAGGAATCTGTTCTATCACTCCTTGTGCATTCCTGGGCCCCTACATTGCCAGTTTTGTTGCCTGTCTCTAGAAGCTAAGTCCCTTAGCTTCTCTACACCCTTGTAAAATCTGCATTATTGGTAGAATTTCTGCTTGTTCCTCCTTGTCCCTTTTTGTGAGTTCTTTATGTGACCCTTCCTCCATTTCTCCTTGTACTCAATTCCTTTCTTGGAATCAGATTTTCTTAAAGTCTCCCTGTCTTTCTGGAAACAGCTTGGTCTTAGTATAGCTTGTTGGCCAAAGCTGGCAAACTTCTCATAGACTGTATTAATTTCTGTCAACACATAAGCAAAGGATCCCACAGTCATTTATTGCTAAGGTTTTGCTACTTTCTACTATTAAATCATTTATCTGTGTGATTTCTCTGTGCTCTACTCCCAAGACATATTTTTAGACCTGTGTAAACAGTCTTTGCCTCAGGATTGATTTGTAACTTCATCAGGTGTGGTTAAAGAAGCAATAAAAATCTGTAATGAAATTTGGTTTAACACTTATGAAAAGGTCATATAGTTAAAATATATACATAGGAATTTTATATATGTTGTGCCCAAATTCTGAACCCCCAAATCACCAAGTGACCAATCCTGATGTTAAAGCAAAGAGTCTTAAATTTTAATGAGTTAACTGTATGAACTCACTTCCTCTATCCGTCCAACATAGCAGGCGGAGTGAGAAGGACCCGGAGTGACCAAGGGGCAGGGATGTTTATCAAGGCAGAGCAAGGGAAGTATCTCAGGACCGTCGTGGACCCTGATTTGATTGTCCTGAGTTGATTGGTTAGGAATGGTTGTTATAGCCTATAGGTCCTTTCAGGGCAGCTGCCATGCTCTGTATATCACTGCTACTGTAAAATACATGCAGGGTCTGCCAGCCAACCTCCACTTAATTTCCTGCCACATGGCTTTCTATTAACTAGGAGGTGGGGCAAGGTCATGAAGCTCAGCACATGCTACTGAGTCAGAGGCCCACATCCTGCTGGGTCCCTTCTATAGCTTGTCATGGCTGCAAAAGCAGGGGGCTGTGTTAGGGTCTGACACCTTCATATATAGTATACACTAGATAAGAGCTGAATCATATACAGGGTATTTTAGCAAAAAAAATTCCTATGAATGATTAAAAAGTCTTATTTGGATACTAAAATGTTCATTAAAAAAATTGTATTTTTTAGGCTAAACCTAACAGGAATGGAAAATTTGATGTAAAGTCTTATCCTTATAAAAGTTACTAACTTATTATAAACTGTTGAGGATTGTTAAGAAATGCAACCTACTAGTCAGTTATCTTATAAATGATCAAATTATTTAATGTGTTCAGAACTGTACTCGTAGTCATGATGAATGTTAATGTAATTTGTTACAAGAGCAATCCTTATTTAGCCTCCTGCATGTTTTTAAAGTTAAGCCTAAAACTAATAACCCAAACAAGCAAAGCTTTTCTATTCAATTCCTTACACACTTCAGAGACCTGCAGAGTATAGCATTTAAAATGTCTAATTAAAAGCTTTTTTGTGATAGAGAGACATGCATGCCAGCTTCTGGCAGCACCCCTAATTCCTCCAAAGAAGATGGGGGATAGAGAACCTCCCCAAGAAACTTTCTTTAAAGGTGGCAAAACTGGCCACTGGGTGAAAAAACGGCCCTCCATGTCACTCACTGCCAGTACTGTCCAGAATGTGGACAAGCAGGGCACTGGGGAGTTGACTGCCCTGCTCTGCCTAAACAAGGCAGACAGGTACCCACAACAAGTTCTTCCAACTCCACAGGAAAATATGTTAGATCTTCTGGACCTGGCAGCTGAAGGGTAATGCGGCCTCAAATGATCACAGAGGAATCTAGGTGATGGTCAAGGCAACTGGCAAGTCTCTGTCATTTTTAATAGATTTAGAAAGTGCTTGGGCTGTACTTCCTATTTACTTAAGTGAAACTCATCCTTCTCACATCTCAAATAGTGTTAATGATAAGGCTAGTGACGGCTTTGTCAATTTAACAGCAGCAACCAAGGTTTCATCTGCCTTCTCAGTTCTCTTCATGTGTAAAAATCAGTCTTCAGGTCTTACTCCCCTAGAGCTACTACTAGGGCTAGGCACAATTTATTTTGTTACAAGACTCAGAAAATAATAAGTTATTTAAGTACATGAAAAATGAAAAAAAAATGCTTCAGATTTTTTCCTCTGCTATGCTATTGTAATATTAAGATTCATGAATTTAGAGTTTTAACAATGGAGTTCTGTTTCCCTACCTGCCTATCCCTATGGGTGGAATCTCTTCCCCTTCCCCTGGGTCTTGGGACTCCTCTCCCACAGCTAAAAGGACCATGGGCCTAGAAGTATCAATTGTACACCTCAGAAAGAAAATTCCTCTAAAATTAACTGTACATTAGGCCCCTAATATATGTCTATTCCAGAAGATTTCCAATCAAAGACAGCAATCTGCTCCAAATGCTGCTTGCACTTTCCTAACCCCAGAAGTCCTCCAGAGTCCAGACAAGTGAAACAGCTTCCCAGACTTGGCCAGCACTGCAGCTTTTTGGGTCCCCAACAACAATGCCCAAATGTCATCAGGAACTATTCATAGACTACTGTGTCCCCCTTTATCATTTATTATCAACAAAATATGGGAGTGTTAAGTTTCAAACTGGAACAAATGACTGAGATATATTTACATATAAAGGCAGACCTAGCAACCAGGCACTCCCAGCATCCCTCAGTCCCTACCTGTTGCAGAGTATGGCTGACATACCCTAAACTTTCCAGCCCAGTGACTGACCATCCTTCCCCCAGAGGCTCGTTCCTATCTAATCAAGATATTTGATTAACAGCTCTTTTTATATATTTGGCCTCCTGGCTGCTACACCTGGTTCCTACCCCCATCCAGAATGTATTGCGGAAGTATTCAGAAAGAGACAGGAATACTGAAGGTCATTAGCAGGCACAAGTGTGGAAAAATGTCACCAACAGGTTTTTCCTTTTACTATTCTCCACATTCCCTCTACTTTGCAGTTCTTTTATCTATCTGAGTCAAATAAATCTCTTTTGTGTTGAGAACTTGGTCTTGGGGTATCTTGGGATAATTTTCAGGTTCTTTAAAGTATGACTAAAATACATTAGTTAGATTTAAAATCTACCACTTATCGGATACAGAGAGATGATTCACCAGTTAAGAATACTGTTCTTCAGAGAGTCCAAGTTCAGTTTCCAGCACCCAAAAGTGGTTCACATCTGTCACTCCAGTCTGGAAATATAATGCCTCTACTGATCTCCAAGGGCACAAGGCATGCACCAGATACGCAAACATACATTCAGGTAAAAACACTCATGTGCATGAAATAATCTTTTGAAAAGTTTAAAAATTTTAAAAAATAGCATTTATATTTAATTTGCTTCTGAGGGAAGAAAACACTGACTCACAAGATCTAATGGAAGATTTCGCAGCAGTTATTTTAAGGACTTATCATAAAAGGCCATCACTTTCTGACTGTTTCATGAAAACAGATTAATGACTGCTAAATAGCTAAAGAATGTTATGGGGGTTTTGTCCCCTTTAAATGAATCAGATGATCAATATTCTTTTCTATCTGAATAAAATAAGCATACACATCTACTACTGGAAAAATATTTTTCCTTCCTCAAATTTAACAGAGCAAGTATTTGAAATACACCATTTTTATTGTATGTATAATTAAGGGCTTAATGATCTATGACTTAAAAGCCTCTCATATGTAATATAACCTACTCAAAAATGATTTACTACTAGTAAGATATAGATAGCAATTAGTATTAACAATAAAACAAAAATGTATGTTTCATAATAAAAGCTGATACACTTAAGAACATTAAACTTACAACATTTTCTAATAAACTTGGGGGAAGAATCACACAGGAATGTTAAAAATTGTTTGCAAATCTTTAATGGAACAATTTAATTCATTTCTGTTCAACTCACTAGTCTTGTGTTTCTAGAACTGTTATAATGCTTATCTCTTAGCAAAACAATATGTTTTACATAAAATAGAACATTCCAGCAGTGTTGGTAATACACCAGCATGACAAAAACATAGTCTGGCACCCACATTTCATACAAGTAAGCAAACTGTAATTTAATAGAAAAAGCAAAATCATTGGATTTACAGGTTTAAAGAAACTATTTGAAGGTGACTCAAAAAAGTGAATTGCTTAAATATATAGTAAAATATTATGTTTTAAGTAAATAAATCAAGGTTAATCAAACCAAATTTCTCAAAAAATTGATTTAAACATTTGAAATCAATATTTTCAGTAAAGCTTTATGTCTTGTAATATATTTAAGAAGAGTTAACATGACTAAGATTGAAACAGGAAAGATTATTCTAATTTGGACGCAATTTTTCCATTGTATATCCATTCCATTCTAGCGAATTATTTTGGGAAGAAACTGTACTGAAGTCCAGTCATTGGGTCTAACACTCTTCAAATATATTCAGAAAACCGACAAGTTCAATGGAGCCAGAAAAAGCACGTTTCTAACAGACGCCAGTTGAGAACTTCAGTTAGTTTTATCTGTTTTTGCATTTTTTTTGGTTTGTTTGTTTTTACTGTTTTGTTTTTGTTTGAAATAAACGGTATTTCCTAAAAGTATGCAGAGCAGAACAGAACATCTTCAGACACCACAGAGTCAGTTCTTCCTCTCAGGTAGCAATTTTAAGGTATTGGTGATCCATGGTGGCAGAGATGCACTCTGTCATAATCAGATGCTCAATGGCTTGAGTAACAACTTCCTCAGTAAGTGCATGGAGGTCTCTTCGCAGCTCCATGATAGCCTTCCCTTCCTTGTGAGGACATTCTCGAATCAGACGCAGCACCTCCATGTGGATGAAATTAAGGCTAGACGCCTTAGCAACCCTGGCGGCTGCAGCTCGGGCTCGGGCCTCTTCCAAGAGGGGCTTTCCTGTGGTCACGCCTTCACGGCTTTGATCCAGCATCATGTGGGCATTGACAACCTCCAAAGTGTGTGTGGACAGCTCATTCATATCCTCCAGGACACGGATGCTCAGAATCCCAAGCCATCGGGTTCCCTCACAGGACTGGAGGACGCCAAGCACTTTGGCATATACGCCAACTGGCAGGGGAATCACACATTGCCTGACTTTCTCTCGAGACAGGGGCTGTCTGGCCTCGATGGCCTTTGCGGTCATGTCATCGATCTTGTACATCATGTACCGTGAAGCTTTCTTGGCCTCCATGATCATCCCAACGATGGAGACCCGGTGAACCGCAAACCCCCTGATCTTAAACACATTGTCAACCTCAAGGGCAGTAAACAACTGGCTGATGCAGCAAGGCACAATGCTGTGAATGCCAGGCCTGCTCAATGTGGTCAGAGAAAGACCCAGGTCCTGACCTCCAGCTTGCTCATCACTGCCACTAGCCCTGTTAGCCCCGTTAGCCCCGTCACCACCAGAAAAGCTATCGTTGCTCCCAAACCCGCTCTTACTCATCATCTTTTGAGGACTTGGCGAGGTTTAACAGCTCGACAATGAAAGGGATAGGCTCACTGGGTCACTTCTCCACAGAAGCACGTTGGCCGACCAACTGTCGAATATCGGGAGGATGGCCTCTCCAGGCACTGACTGGAGCTATGGCAGAAAGACAGCGCCACCCCTCACAACCAACCTCACACAGACTGAACAGCCAATCAGCTACCAGATGAGGCAGTACCCTTGCTCTAAGATTCTCGCGAGATTACAAAGCCCTCTTTGCTCGCTTTTGGTTGCTATGCAGAATTTTTAAAATGGGAAGTGTGCCAACAGTCCTGCAACTGCAATAGGAACACTCGCAAGATTTGAGGTAGGAGTTTGACGCCCACCTGGTTCACACAGTTCCAGGACAGGCTCAGATAAACTAGGGTGACCTTGCCTCAAATTGAATGAATGATTGAATGAATGAATGAATGAATGAATGAATGAATGAATGAATTGATGAATGAATGGCTGCCTGTCTGGCTGGCTGGCTGGCTGGCTGGCTGGCTGGCTGGATGGATGGATAAATAAATAAATGGAAAAACATTATTATCAAAAAACAAAACAACCCCCACAAAAGTATGGTATCTTTATAAAGATGTATTTGAACTAGGGAAAATATGTACTAGGCTCTCCACATTATTGAATGCCACAATTGCGGGGGGTGGGAGTGGAGTCCTGTTTTATTTTATTTATTTTTATTTATGTATGTGGGTGTGCATCTGTGCATATATGTGCCCAAAATTCCTGAGAACAAGTCAGGTATTACATCCCTCAAAGATGAGAGTTACTGGTGGTTGTGAGCCCTTCAGCAACCGTGCTAGGAACTGAAATGGTGTCCTTTAGGAGAATAGCAAGCACTAAGAACCAGTAAGCAGTAGCTGTAGCCTTGAATGCCAGGACTTGCATTTTTTTTTTTTTTTTTTTTTTTTTTTTTTTTTTGTCTTGTTTTGCTTTTAATGGCTTACTTTAATGAATCCTATATATAATTCAAAGGCTGACTTGGAATTTCACGTAATCTCACAGACTAACCCAACCATGGCTGGAAATGCAGACTGTGTCACTATAACCAGTTTAAATTCATTTCTTCCATCACCTGCTCAAAGGAAAATGTGAAGGGCACATTTGATCGCAATGCAATCAAAGATTTGCCTCTTGATAAACATCTGTAAGACAGTTTAATGAACGTAAAAAATAGTAAGGAATTTATTATTAATCTCCATTTCTTTACTGGTAAAAGTAGTTTAGGCTATCTCAAAGTTACAAGAGTGTGTGTGTAGTCTATGTAAAATATAAATATAATATGAAATTATATACATAATTATAAATTATAAAATGGAAGTGCACTGCAGCTGATATGGATATTGGTAATGCACTGTGGATTCTATTATCAGAGAGGTCACATGCATGCCTGGCTATAGTGGCTTAGCACTGAGGAGGCCATGGCAGGACGATTACCTCACATGCAAGGACAGCCTGAATGATTTGTGAGTTCCAGGCTAGTCTGGCCTACAAAGTTAGATGGCATAAAATAAAAAAATAATAATGACCTCAAATATTTTAGTTACACCACTAAAACTTAAAGTATGCCATTTTAGAAATGGAAAGATAGCAACCACTGAAAAATTATTTTCAGTGCTTTATGTACTAGAGCTGAGCCTGATAAAGATAGGGCAAACACTAATAAAATTACAGTTTCTTTATATACACAAATTTAGTAAATTCTGAACTCAAAATGGCAATAATTTAGTATGTAGACCCCAGAATTGAAATCTATTTTTTATAAAGTATTATTTGTGATATTACTAATTTTAAGGCTTGTTAGTATCAATAATTATTACTCAAACACATTGCGATCAAAGATTTGCCTCTTGATAAACATCTGTAAGTCAGTTTTAACGAATGTAAAAAATAGTAAGGAATTTATTATTAATCTCCATTTCTTTACTGGTAAAAGTAGTTTAGGCTATCTCAAAGTTACAAGAGTGTGTGTGTAGTCTATGTAAAACTTAAATATATATGAAATTATATACATAATTATAAATAATCACAAATATAAAAGGAATACAATTTTAAGACAATGTAATTAATTTGTTTTGCAGATACATATTAATAATTTTCTTGGTACTCAAATAGACTAACATGCATATGTAAATATTTAACTTCTAGATTTAACTACTTTTCAAAAAGGAAATAAATAATAAAAAATTACCGACATTTTTAAGTTGTATATGAGTAAAGATAATATTAGCTAAACATATATTTTTAAACATTTAGAACCTGACAATCAGACAATGTTCTTCTATTGGATGATAATACACTTCTGCAAAGAAAAATCTTGAGGTTAAACTAACATGTCTGATTATACCAAATACCTATATACAATGTGAAAAGTATGAATAATAAGGAACTACATACCTGACAGGATTGCTGGTTAAAGAAACCCTCAGAGATTCCAGACAGTTGAGAAGTTTCTCATCTGAAATACCCGATCGTAATTCATGAACATATTCTTGTGAAGACAGGGTGCATTCATGCTTGCTGTTTTTCAGGCCACCCTAAAAGCAAACAGGAGATACCATTTTAAACAAGCATCAAGGGTTTTTTTTTACATCTTGAAAGAAAAGTAAAACATAGAATATATTGATAACATTAGGACATTTTCAAGCCAAGTATGTTACAATAATATAAACAGTATGAAAATCTAATTCTTTGGATACCAACTTAAAAAATAAGTAATTTTAATTACAAAAGTAAACATTATATAAATGTTTTACTTTGTGTGAATGCTATGCCCCCTCCCTCTTTTTTTTAACTACTAGGAATGGGACTCAAGACCTTAAACATGGGGGTAAACACTTTACCTCTATGTTAAATTCACAGAACAACAATTCTTCAAAGATACAACATTCTCCTCAGCCCTTTAAAAGAAAATTATGCTAGCTGATGTTCACAGCCTGAAAATAACCCTGATGTAAATAGCAAAAGAGTACTATTGACAGGGCTACTTAAACTTATATTCCAAGTATTAGGATTTATGCTAACTGGTCCTCCTCAATTCAAACTATAAAGATTGTTAAATCATCTTATTAATTTTGTAGTTGACAGTTAATGTTTATATTCAGTTATATGAGCTTAAGAAAATAAAATTTAATATAAAATACTGTACATATCCTGAATCTATGGAAAGATATCAGAGCATCACTATATTTAAAAAAGTAAAGTTATTAAAGTAAAAAACAATATAGACTCCAATTAACATTTAATTAATTAAATCAGTCTAAACCATTTAATTCCCACCTAGTCACCTGTTACTACCATGTTGTAGATGAATCTTTAAAAGTCATTAAATACACTTATCAGATAGCAACCAGATTTTAGTTTCATTTTAAGTGTATAGGAGGTTATTTCTAATAATCATTATCTCATCACAGCTCCTTAGCTTTGTCACCTTGTTGCAAGCATATAAGTAGTTCAGGGGAATAGCTGAAAAGAAAATATCTACATGTTCACCATATTAATAACACATAGATTCATCTTCCAGGCAAAGTATTCTTTTTGTTTATTTTCTGTTTTTAGTTTTCAAGACAGAGTTTCTCCATGTAACGCTGGCTGTCCTGAAACTTGCTCTGTAGATGAGGCTGCCCTCAAACTCAGAGATCCACTTGCCTCTGCCTCTGCCTCTACCTGCAAAGTGCTGGAATTAAAGGTACATATAACCACTGCACTATGATATAACTAATCTTAACTTTACTATTACTTTAATATGATAAAATTCTTTTGAACTAAAATTCTAAGTTTATTCTCATTGTCTAAGTTCATACAAAGTATACTGACTACCTGCTAAGAATCCAAGCAAGTTTCCCCGTATTGTTTGGAACTGATATCATTAGATGAGATGGAACATTTTTTCCAATAATATTCCAACAATGAAAAAAATGTATTGCCTAGAATCTCATATTATTTGACTTTTGATTGGGAATGCCTTTTTAATGTAAAAATTTACCAATTATTCAGAATTTGAAATCCCATTATCATGTTAAGGGACTAGAAATATATTCCAACATGTCAGGAATATTATTTCCTAACTGTATTAAGACAATATTATCAGTATTAGTACACTTAAGATATTGTAATAAGAGTCACCATTTTTGTCTTTTTATTTTTTCTATTTGGAATTGAAAAAAATTCAAAGACCAAGTACTATTTTTAATTTGTCCATAATAATTCCATAACAACAAACAGATTCACATTTATGTTTATTTTTCATGCTTTGTTACAAATTTCAAGAAGGTTACTACAGAATTACCACATGTAATGCATAGATAAGAAAACAACAAAATTAATTTTCAAAGGGTTCACAAATTCCTCTCATTGACCTACCCATCTCTATAACACCAAATATGTATAGCACAATTTTTGCATTACACTTTTATTTTTGCTAATCATCTCATTTTCTATCCTGCAAAATCCTTCAGTAACAATAAACAGGACAATATGAAACATACATTACTCTGAAAACTAGACATAGAAAAAACAACTTGGCAAGTTTACAAGTTTACACTCAGACACTACTTTCATGGAATCCTCAAATTTACCTTTAAGGTAATAGGACACACTAATCCATTTGGGAAGCTTTTATGTAGAGTTCTTTTGTATTCTGTCATTTTCTCTGAATGGAAGACCCAGTCCAAGTTCTCACTGCTGGACAGAGAAGTCTCAGCATACTCTTGGATATGTTTGTAAAGGCCTTTCCGAACACCAGTCCAGTCATGAAGGATCTGACCTGATCAACAGTATAATCTATTCATGGATTGGAATTTTAAATAGACTATTATGAAAGGAGAGGCCTAATTTGAGGAAATAATCATTGGAAGTGTGAAATTGAGGGTATCACTTTTCTTTGTTTCCTGTTGCCCATGGTTGAAACATTCATATTCTGACATGTATTCCTGGATGCAAAGCTTCTTCCTTACCTCAGGTGCAGATACTTTTCAAAGTCACATTCCCAATAACCACTTCCACAAACTCTGAAACTTTCAGCCAATGTAAAACTTCCCTGTCCTGTTTTACCTTTGGCTCATAAATTTCTTAGAGTGGCCAAAATCTAACACAGACTTGCTTGAGAATGTGAAAGCTTTTTAAGGATTGAGGCAAAAGATGGTCAAAGAAACGAAGTTCACAACAAATAAATTCAGACCTCACATGGCATTCCAAGTAAATGCAGAATTCACTACCAAGTCTAAACCTTGCCCTGATTTATCTTGTAGCATCCTTTGGGCAGGAATATATACTGATCTTTATAAATCATTTTCCCCATGCATGGCATAGGGATGATAAACACCTCTATTTAAGATGGTGCATATAAATATGTTCCAAAGATGATTTTATACATATCCTATCATAGATGCAGAAAATGTTAACTCAACTTGCTAAATGTACTTTAATAGGTTTATTTTAATGGACACATGTGGTCATGGCTGACATGCTGTTGTTTATAGACAATTAAACAGCACACCATGGTGAAAATCATCCTTCTACACATTTTAAAAATATGTTAGCATTTTTTGTTCTCTTTTCCTTGATTTTTTGATAATAGGGCTCACTCTGTAGCACAGTTTTCCAATGAAATCACTATGTAGCCAAAGTCAAACCTGAACTTATAACAATCCTTCTGTAGCATACACCCAAGCAGCTTGCTTGTAGCCATACAGCTACCATGCTCAACATTGGAAAGAAGTTTACGTTATATCATTTGGATACCTAATTGTTACAAGGAATGGAAACAAGCTAATAATGTAAGAGAGGAAGCAACATTTGCACAATAACATTTTTCACAATTAAAATAACTTTAGAGTTTTAACATAAGTTCACATTTGAAAATTACAAAAACATGATAGCTTGTTAAGGTTAGAATGGTTTTTGAAAACCAATTCTTTTAATATTATCATTACAGAAATAAAGAAGGCAGCAAAGCATTGTGATGCACCTCTCATCCCAACCCTTGGGAATCAGAGCAAGTGGATCTCTGAGTTCAAGGCCAGTCTGGTTCACATAGTAAGTTCGAAGACAGCCAGGACTACACATTAAAACTAGTAGAATCTTGAGAATAGCTAATAGCATAATTAGTGACGAGTCAGGACTAAAGTAAAATATTTTGAACTTCCAATAATTCATCTATCATTTCCATGACACTTTCCCCTATATTGAATAAAGAATTGAAGCAACGGGTATTTAAGTATGACATTTCTATTTTTAAAATGTCAAAGTATCTTCAGCATAATTAATATGGCACAACATAATATTAAAGAAATAACCCTGAAACAAAACAGTGTGGGAGATTAAACTAAATCTCACTGTACTTAATAGGGCTGTAATACAAGAATGGCTTATTATTAACATCTAGTTCTGATACTGAACAAAGGCAACAAGTAGATAATGAATGGATAATAATTGAAATTTTAATTAGCTGCTCTGTATGAGATTAATGAAAATTACCACTGTGCCCATTTGATCTTTAAAAAATATTGCAGACAAAGTTAGTAATTAGAGTACAACGTGCTATTCCAAAGCTAGGTGAATAAAAATCTTTCCTAATTTGAAGACATTCCTTAATTTGAAAATCATTAGAATGTAGAAACTTGTATGTATGAGTATGCTTATATTATCCTAAGACAGTACACAAAGAACTAAAATTCACTTTGGGTCACATCCCCCTTTACTATAAAATAAAATTTTAATATCAAAACTAGACAAGAAATATTTTAAAAAGAACAGTCTAAGTATGCAGTGAAAATGACAAACTTCTAAGTTTAGTGACTTAGACCAATCTTTTCCTTTCATTTTTTTAATGTAAAAACAAGCTGACTTTCAATTTGAGAAAAAGATTCAGAATTCTTAGTTGGAAACATACCACGCTATGAACACTGGATGGAACCTTTGATTGTACATAGCTCTTTCAGCTACAGTAGGCACACAGATAGCAATTACTGTCCATGGGGTGGGCACCTTTGGAGTGGGCAATATTATCTTGAAAAATGGCAATACTGTTACTGCTTGTACTGGTTAAATTTTGTCAACTTCATACAATCTGCAGTAACCTGAGAAGAGAGAAACTCACTGCTCTGTAGGCATGTCTGTGGCCATTTTCTTGATTGATGTAGGAGGACCTAGCTGAGTGGAAGTGGTACATCTCCTGAACAGGTGGTACTAGAAAGCAAGCAGGGCAGCCATGGGGAGTAAGGCAGGAAAGTGGAATTCCTCTACGCTTTGTGCTTCTGTTCCTTCCTGCGAGTCCCTGCCATGATTTCCCCACATGATAGACTTTGCTAAGGATATATAAGCTAAGTAAACTCTTTCCTCCCCAAGGTACTTTTGTTTAGTATTTTTTCACAGCATAATGACAAGCAAACTAACACTGTGATTAACTATGTTCCATACTAAAGTCAAGTTTCTCTGGCTACTTTAACCAAGTGAGTTTCTTGTCTATTATTGTAGCTCTCAAAAAGTACAATATTGTATGTTAGTGCATTTGAAATTTTGTCTAAGAAGATTCCTG